CCTGTCCACTGTTAAAGCTCCTCCTCAACCTGATGGATGTGCAACTTGAATACAACTGGCAAACAAGCTGCTAACAAGAAACCTTGCCCGGATCTCTCGACGGTTTATCTTTGTCTGGGTGATGCGCACTATTTCCATCCAGGCTTTTGAGTTTGTGTGCGTGGACTGGATACGTGAGGTTAGGCGAGGGGTGGACCTACATGCCTGCTGGGTCCTGACAACATGACTGACTAGCCCCACAGCACAGAGAGAGAGAGAGAGAGAGAGAGAGAGAGAGAGAGTGATGCATAATTTGTTGTGCCTCCCTCATCCTTCATCCATCAGCCGTCAAGGACATTTGTGGGGAATTGGTCTCCTCCTCTGATAAGGGCCATGTGATGTCAGAAGCCTCACTGTGGGGACGATGACTCATGCGCATCACTAAAGGAACCCCCCCCCCCCCAGCGTATCGCCACACTCAGTCCCGCTGGCCTGCTTCATTTCACCCCCTCACATTCCCCTCATGGACCTTGCACTGTAGCACAATAATTGGGCTGCATGGAACAATTCCCTGCAATGGAAGTGTGAAAAACAACAACAACTACGATATATAGCGATGAAGTCCAGAGTATGAGTCACGAAGGGAGTGAAGGCCTGGTGACATTCCTCACAAGCGGCAGAGCCAGCCAACAGTCAGTCTCTCTCATTTCATTCCAGGACACCCAAAGCACGCCAGAGACATTTTTAATTAGGCGGCGAGGCTTACATTCTGTGTTTGCACACAATTCAGTTGCTAAAAGAAGAGCAGCGACTGCGTTCGATTCCCGCAGACACACCTGACCCACGTGACCTTCATCTGTTAGTGGATCCGGGTGATCTAATTCCAAAGCGCTTTGTGCAAAAAAGCTGCCTCAGTATTTTTAGAAGTCCATCCAAAGCGGCAAAATAATATATATACTTTTCAGGGTATCAAAAGGACTCGAGGACTTTGTGTGTCGAAGGAGAAAGAAGTGACCTCGACTGAAGCGTGCTTTCCAAAACATCACACTTCTATTTTTACTTGCTTGGTGCAAAAATCCATGTCTATTGAATATTTGCCTTCATGTTCGCAGACCGTCTTTGCCTCTCATTCACCGGTACTCTCTAAAACTTTCATCAACGGCGGCTCATTACTTTCACCTGACGTCTCAGGTGTATAACGAGTCTCTGATTGGATGGCTGGGATCCACCTCACAGTGCCACTGAAACACCCTGAAGGAGCCGGGGAAATCTGACGAAACATCAAGACTTGAGTGCTGCAGACTAGTGACGGCCATGCTGAGAGTCCTGAGACCAAACAAAGCCGCCAACGACCTGTCAATCACAAGGTAGCCAGACCCTGAAGCACACCCTGCTTTATCATCTATTTTAGTCTAAATGGGACCATAAGTTACTAAATGAAAGAAGAAGACTTCAAACTAGCGATATAGACCATAAACTCATGTTTACATTGTTTACTGAGGTAATAAATCAAGTGAGAAGTAGAGTCATTTTCTCATAGACTTTTATACAACCAGAGGAGTCGCCCCCTGGTGGCCATTAGAAAGAATGCAAGTTTGAGGCACTTTAGCATCGGCTTCACTTTTATCAGACTAGAAGGATGTTACTCCAATTTACTGACAACCCCTGAACATCAAAAAGTTGAGTTATTATGTAGCTGCTATATATCATTTTTTGCACAGTTTATAATTAGGAGTGGGCTCTTACGACATAAAAAAAGGTGTCACTTTACTTTCGAGAAAAAACACAAGCGTGACAGTAGATCAGTGTTTCCTCTGAAAGGCTTGTGTGGGTTTTCTGCTCTTAATGATTGATGACATTGGGATTCCTCTCATGTTTAGAGCAGTTGCATCGCCCAAAACACTGGGTTTCCTTTTAAAGAATGGAGATACCAACGCTATTTTAGAACTGTGTACATTTTCTGCGACAATGACGATGTTTGCCCAAACTTCCAACATATTCAGCTATCTCAAATAGATTGAAAGACTCAAGGGGTTGAATGGATTCAAGTCTCATTTTCCGTGGACAAAGACGATTCCTTCAATAAATCCCTCTGAGGTCTGATTTTCTTTGCAGGTCTGACTGGAAAACACAAAGATATCATGAAAATAGTTGTAGTCCTGCTGTTTTTATCCCACTGTAATCTCTCTCACACAGGCTCCTTGACGTGGGAGTAACAATGTACTCTAGCAGTGCCTTTGTGCAGCCTGGTGGTGCAATAAGATGCAGCCAACTCCTCCTGCTGTTCGGATGAGTCAGTCCTGTAGGGTCTGTATGCATCCTAATTCATGTATTTAACAATGTCAAACTCTGTTTTGGTAGGAATGTCGAAAAAGCTAAATTCACTTTTAAAAAATATAGAAAAATATTTTCTAGTTTGTAGTTTACACAGAGCAGTTTTAAGCCTCACATGCAGGTACATCAACACCACAGATGTAACACACCATAGATTCAAATATAGCATTCGTGTGTGTTAAAGAGAGGTGGAAAGTGTACAAGAATATAAGATAGTACCATATAACACTACTGGTTAGGACCCCCTGCTGGGCTTGGAAGAATAGAATCCCTGTTGAATAGAGAAATAAATGGCTCAATGCAGTGAGTGGACAGACAAGCTCAGCAGAGTTGTGTCAGAGTGCTGACCCCCACTGGCATCCTACTTACACCACCAGGACAATCTCCTACTGCACATCCTTTCTGTGTTTCTATATTTAAATACACTTGCCACTTTTACAATATACTTGTTTTAAAGTACTGTTATCTGTTTCTTTACAATATTTTATTGTACATTTTTATATTTTTAAATTATGTCTCGGTTGCACTGTGTTCATTGTTTATTGTTATGCACCACTCACCAAGTCAAATCCCTTGTATGTGTGACGTTCTCGGCAATAAACGGTTCTGATTCTGATACAAAACAAACGCAGTCAGTCAGTGGTGATGTCATTCACTGTGTCATTGGTCATTTGCAGGCCTCTTGCGCCTCCTAGTGGTTCGCGCTGCGATGTGTTACAGCAATATGGTCTTTAGAATATATATTATATAATGGAGAGAGATTTATTTTACAATAGTATTGGAAAATAGTATAAATTGCCGCGCAGTTGACTAGTCCTATAGTCTGGATTTACTCATTACATTATGTCATTATAGATGTGGTGTTATTCATATCATTACCTGTGTGTGCCGATGCTGTAGAGATAGTATAAAGTACACTTAACTACTGTTTCTGCCCTCTAGGTGGCAGCATCTCTCTCAACATGACCAGCCAGGATGTAGCCTGTTGTCACTGCAACAACAAAGTGGCTTCACATTGTGTTCCTTCTGAAGGTATCAGTTCAACAGCTTTGTTCAGGACGAAACAAAAACCACCATATGAACATGAGTTAAATGTGTAATATTTCCCTTTATGTTTGAAATCGTATTCAAAAACATTTGTGTATCCCCAAACCCAACACACATATACACACACACACACACATATATATACCGTACATAGCAATTACTGTTATGAAAATCATGTTTTTCATAATCATGTAGCTTTGTCAGAAAAAATACAAACCTTATATATAACCTTAAATACCTTGCTGGTGTTATGACTCCACAGTGTGATTGATACTGATACTGCTGCTTATGTATTTCACAATTTATAAAACAATCAACAATATAGAGGGAGCTTGTAAACAAATATTTTATTATTTTATTGCTTTCTCTATTGAGACATTTTGTTTTACACACCCTAGAACTATGTGTCCACTTCGACGCGTCCTTGTTTCTGGTTCGAGATAAACACAGCCACAGTCTGTCAGGGACAGCTGATGTGCAGATGTAATCCAAACCGGATTATGAGCATACAGTGAGTGCTTTATGACACCGAGGGATCAACGTCTTCATTATCACTGCGTTACCCGCCGCGGTGAATGACGATGGTTTTGTACAACTTGGGAGGTCGAGCCTCTTAACTCTTTGTTTCACAAGCTGTGATCACTTGAGAGGAATATTACACATGTGGTGGATGCTCATGTGGTTTGTTAAAGATAAAGAAAACCTGTAAGTCTCCCCACAAGACTGCTTTGATCACACAGACATCTTGTGATCTACAGATTCGTGGCACGTGCAGATTGCTGGAGGTAGACTAACAGGCAGTATGCATGACTTTGACTCATGCCACACTGATTTTGACAGCACAGAATATAGATAATTATGAGAAACGCGTTTAAAGAGTTTGTATATCTAACACATGTTCTGATTGTGGTTCACTACCTGCTCGTGACTCCTCCTCACAGGTTGCATTTGTCCATAAACTGTGAGCAGTTCAACCGGAGTCAGTATTTCTTCTCATGTTGTAAATTATAGGAAGAATGATCTGGTATTTCAAACAAAACTATCGGAGAAAGCATAAATAGGGGATTCTTTCCCATAATCATCTCGCAATCCACTGAAGTGGCCCTGACCTCAATGCTGGCAACCACCATTTTATGATATCTTACATTTTTGACAGAAAGATTCTTGCATAATATAGGGAACAAAAAAAGCATAATGTTACTCTGGTCAGAGAATAATTTGGATAATAGAAGACAGCTAATACAAACTAGAATCACCATCGTTGTTGTTGTTGTTGTATGCCCCCGCTAACAGTTTATCTCCATGTCTGTCCAAAATGTCACCACTTCATAGTAATCTCTTAGACACGTGTGTGAAATTGTCATAATTAGCATATGAATTATTGAGTTATGGCCACAGAGACCTTTGACCTGTGAAGTCCTAATCAGTTCATCCTCAGATTTGAAGACATTCGCTGCAGGTGCTTCTGAGATTATGCGTCCACAAGAATGGACCGGACGGACCGCCGTCGTCAGCACAAAGGCATACATTTAAAAAAAGCTGAAACTGCAAGTCAATACAGTTAATACAGCATGTTTGCAGCGTGAATCATCGCTTTACATTCAGCATTGACACATGGCATGAAGAGGCCGGTTGAGTCATTCAGGTTTGAAAATCTTGGTGTTTTTTTTATTTGAAGTATTGCATCCTCAACTTACACGGCTAGAATCATCATCAGACTGCATGTTTTACAAAGGATGGCCACAGGTTCAGAACAACAGGACGACTCTCCCTACGGGGGCTGCTCGTTTGGTTCACCTCCTGGACTCCGCTTCGCTCAATGCCGAGACGCCAGGATGGAGTGTGGTTTACAAAAAGACACTGCAGCTTCCACTTCAGTCGCGACCGGCAGACATCAGGCCGAGCTGTGAAACTGGAACTCAACGCTCCCGGAGAGTGAACCTGAACCAGTCGAGACACGCACATCTTGTCTACACCTAACCTTAAACACGGGGGGGGGGTACAGACGTAGCTTTGTCAACACCAGCTTATGAAGATACGCTATTGTTTGTAACCTACAGCATTGCCTGGATGCATTTGTCTTTTCTTGACAAATACTGTGCAGAAGTCTGATGTTTACCGAGCAGCAGGTGGGAATCGGCCCAACCGAGATCAGTGCAGACTAGTCATGGACCAGGTGCCTCTCTAAAGCTCAGCCTTGGTAAGATCATCGAGCACTCGCACACACACTAACTCTCTCACACACACACACATACTGTACGCTCACATAAGAGAGAGGACAGACCTGGCTTCAGTAAAATCAGTTCTTAAAGTTGGATTTATCCCATCTGGGAATACAACATCAGATTAGCTTGCCACATGAGACGATACAATGAGTGCCAGACAGTTCTCACACATTTCAGTGATAAACAACAACACTATTGTCCCAAATGCAGTAAAAATATATTGTACTCTGAGCAGGTTAAAACACCACTGGGATGCGATTCCGGTCGGCACACGGAGTGGAATTCATTTGTCGTCAAAACACGGGACTTTTCTTTTCTCCTGCCAGCAGTGCAGGTTCATAAAAACAAAAAGAGCTGAAGGTTAATAACTTAAACATGGGTAGAATACATGTAAACTGTCCCTCAGAGGGAGGGAGAGAGAGAGAGAGAGATAAAGAGAGAGGACACTGAGGTGTTCTGAGGTGGTTTTGGCATTTTCTTTTTTTTTTTCATATAATCAAGCACCAGAAGCGGATACTTTCTGATTCAGTGCCAAGTCCAACAACCTCAACAGAGCTCCGCAAAGAGCTCACATGTCAAACTCTACACCTTATTGACGTCCTTCAGAGGAACCAAAGGATTTGTTCTTGTTCCGTTTATTATTTCTTTAAATGCTCAGTCGGAGGCATTGAATTGTAAATGTAAGACACATTTTGTCAACTGAAACAAGTCTAATAGAGACTACAATCCTCCTGATAGAGGAAAGTGGAGTTTTAGACCCCTGTTATCGTGTAGTAGCCGGCTCAATAGTTGCCGGTAAAGTCTTCGGCTATCGATAAGTCTTGTGCAGAGATGACCCCCCCTTTCAAGTACAGACCTGGCTAACATACAAACAAGATGGCGAATGTTTCGCCTCGCGTCGTACGGAAGCCATTCTGTCTATCCCGTTGTTTTCGGTTAGCGTTTACGGTAACAGGCATAGCGTGTTGTCGGGGCGACTCTAAACAGGCGAGGCTCAGCACTAGGAGCAGCTTTAGGGGCCAATTACATTTCAAGTGTCCATCGAATAAAACATCAGGAAAACAAAATGGCTACATTTCTTATCCCCTCCCACCCTCCCCACCCAAAAACAATTGACAAAAAAAAAAAAAAAAGCCATCAAATATACAATTTTTAAAAGAAGGAATGAGGAATATACAAGCATCAGAAAGAGGAGTAAAATAAGACAGAAACAAAATAAGTTAACTTCTTTTTACCCCGTTGCTCGTGTCCTTTGAGGGATCGAGAAATAAATATTTAAAAGGGAGGTGTTGTATTTTTTTTTTGTTTTCTTTCACAGACAAAAGGATTCATGTGAGATCCATGAGAGAGAATAAAATAAAGTAAAATACAGAGAACTGTGGCGGAAGTGCAATTCTTAATGCCAGTGGAGTTGGGATGGTGTGGTGGAACATTGACATCACACAACCCGTTTTCTTCTCCCCACACGTTCCTCCACAGATCACCTCACCACCAGTGGAATGCCATACACAGCCCCCCCCCCCCCCCCCCCCCCCCCCCCTCTCCCAGTTTATGAATATTATAAACAAGAGAGGGAAAAAGTCAAATAAATAAAAAAAAGAGTGCCACACAAACTCTGCGTTCTCCATCAGAAGTCATGGATGGGAAGTTGCTCTGTCTGTGTTGTTTTTTTAAATCACTTCATAGAGTAACTTTTCTTTTCCTTCTCAGGGCAGCAACAGGATGAGCAACTTGTAAAAGTGTCCACCTGCAAACTGAACAAACTAATAGTGTCTATTCCCCATCCACCGCCACTCTGGAGAGGATAAAATCTTTCCAACATTGGAATTTAAAATGCACAATAAACACAGGTCAAACAGCAACAGAGGCAATAGTTCTATCCATGAACTCATTTAAAAACAAAAAATCCTTTTTAAAGGTTTAATTCATTTAGCTATTTGTATGTACAAAACAAACAAAAGAAATTAGCTTTTTGGACGGTCACACAGTCTTTCAGGGGAGAAGAGAAGAAGAAAACAAAAAGGGGGGGGGGGGGGGGTTCAAACTGACGAGACAAAAAGGACTTGAAGAGTTATTGCTTGTTACTGCTGGAAGGAGGATGGACATCTATTCCAAAGTTTGTTGTTGTTCGGACTTTTTCATTGTTGCTGTTGTTTTTGTGCCGTTTCTACGGACAGCTCTAAAGTAGGCAAGTGCAGGATAGCTTAGCTGCTTGTCGAGGGGAGGGAAACCAAAACAAAAACACACAAGTTACAATTTCTACTCTTTGAAAATGCACTGAGCACCCACATTCGACAGGAATGTTGTTGTTTGTTTTTTTCCCTCCATTTTCTCAGGTTGTTTTCCTCCATGCTCGGTGTTTGGCTTTAAAAGCTTCGTGGCGGTGGCTCTGATCGGCCTCCCCGTCGGGTCTGTTCCACAATAGCACCATTATGAGTGCTTCTGCGTTGTCGAAGCAGAGGTAATGAAAAAACAATAAGACGAGGTTTAAACTCGGGGCTCGAGGGACGTCAGCTGTGTTGATGTAGCAAAGTTCACCCACAGTGTTGATTATAGTCCAGATTAGATGTGCTCCTGTTTATCCAGACCCAACAACCAGAGAGTTAAAGAGGTTTACACAGGACGAGCTCCTCACACACACACACACACACACACACACACCACAGGAGAGAGAACCGAACAGAAAGAATTATTTCAATATCATATGAATTTAAGTGCATTTTGGATCAAATCAGGGGTTGCGTATGTTCACAAAAATGTCAGACATACGACAGTTTGAGGAAATAAAAGAAATGAAACTATTAATTTCAATTGTGTGGGTTTTAAAATCAAAATGTGTATTTTTTTTCTTTTTCATGTCAACCAAGTCTCTGATCTCCCTTTTAAAAGAAGATTAAAATCAATTGGCAGTTTCCCATCATGTGTTTGTTTGGGTCCCTGCTGTCGGTGTTGGTCGGGGAGGCTCAACGTTCAGAAGTGAGGAAAAGCTCTCAGTGGAGCTCCTCCATCAGTGGGTCCAGCAGAGCAGGAGGAGAGGAGGGGAACTAAAGGCTAGGAGCTGGAGGAGGAGGAGGGGGCGCTGCTCAGGAGCAGGGGCGTGGCCGTTATCGTCAGAGGTGACCGTGTGTGTGTGTGTGTACGTAGGCATTGGCTGGATGGACGAACGGATGGGAGGGCGGGCGAGGTTTGGCAGGGAGGAGGTGGAGGAGGTGCGTGGTGGTAGTGGTAGTGGGGGCTTTAGGAGGAGAAGGCAAGTTTGACACTGCAGGAGGAGTAGCCCTCGTCGCTGCCCATGCTCTGCAGGCTGCTGTGGTCGTCCAGGTCGCTGGTGCTGGCTGTGCTCACACTGTCCAGCTCTCCATGGGAGAACTCCGTGCTTTCCACGTCCACCTCGATCTCCTCTGCAGTCGAGGACGGAGAGGAGAACAAAGAGAGAGAGAGAGAAGAACTCGTTAGTGGGGAAAGACATGACTGCCAGGATAATGCGGTTGATGTTCTATAATCTCGTTAAGAGACAACAAATCCCACGAAGAGACCGAAACCAACTTTGATGGCTAAATTAAAAACCAGTTGTAGAGACTGCGGCCCAACTCACCTTGGTCCGAGTCAGAGCGGTCGGAGCAGAGGGTGGAGCCCACGCTGTCCATGCGTATCCTCTCTCCCTCCCCGGGGCTGCTCTGGGCTGCAGCACCGCTGCCTCCCCTCAGCAGCTCCAGCTGGCGGTGGAGGTGCCTCTGCTCCCGCTCCAGAGACTCCAGCTGGTACTGGCTCTTCCTGTCCGCCTCTTCAAGTTTCTAGTCAGGAGAAAGACAAAAAAAATGGTGAACTATATGAAACCACCTGGGTGAGTCGAGAACGTACAGATTAAGTGTGCAAGAGGAGGGGATAGCCGGATAAACAAGAAGGCCAGAACACAAGAAAAAGTAGGTGGGTGCAGATTGATTGCGAGAGCAAGACGGTGGAGGAATACAGAGTTGATCGGAGTGAGAGAAGGAAAGCTGGAAGAACAACTATGAGAGATAGATGTTGTCTGTCTCTAAGGAAATCCCTTTCATATCAAAAGGCTGTCAGAATACAAAGGCGGCACGGAAATAAACAAACGGCGTCTGTTGTAGAATTCAGCCACTGAACCATTTGGTTCCCTTGGACTTTCCTCCTGCAAGCTCCGGCACCCCTAAATGATTTCCCCTCACCTGCCTCGTTTACACCGCGGCGCCTCTTGCGTACGCCTTGCGATGCGAGCGAGGGCCACGGCAGGGACGGATACGGTACCGCACGTCGGGCTTCTAACCTTGGAGCCTTACGTCACCGCTCGCCCGACCGTGACCAGCGAGACTCCCCGGCGACGCACCGAAACAATAGGCCCGTCAAAAGAAGAGATGGAGAGACTCAAGCTGACAGCAGCAGAAGTGCTCAGTGGTGACGGCAGTAGTGAGAGGGGGGGGAGGGGGGTGGCTCACAACAACAATACCCGGCTTTATGCCTCCCCTCTCCGTTACATGAACGCACACCACGGCAGGCGTTTCCCGTGCAGAATGCTCCGTCTCATGCCTGCTGTTTAAGTGGATGGGAAAGCGTGAAGCAGGATGTCGTAGCGCGTTACATGCTCGGGCAGTGACCAGCTGAATACAGGTCACACTTCCACTGGAGGTTTATTTGCATAAGACAATTTTTGATGCCGATGGAAATGGAGGATATTCACACATCAACGGCGTGTTGCTGTCAAAACATTTGGGTGGAATTGTTCATGGATGTGCTCTCGTTCTTCCCCTCATTGGATGTTTGTACTGTAATCTATTACACAACAGCTCGTCGATGAACGCTGGCCGCAGCGGTAGGTCGTCGAATTAGGGATTCATTTTTGTATTGATGGTGGCGCATGTTAGAGCATTTGTATCAACGGTGATGGGGGAAACCGCTCTGGGGAAAAAGATGTTCCTCAGCCTGTTATATTCATGAGTCTTTAGCTCCTTTACCTTTATGTGTGATTTGGCTTTGTTGAGCAGGCCCAGGGTGGTGTGCCGGTTGCAGTCGGGTCCCAGGGGTATGAGGGCCTTCAACCTCTCCAGACACAGCCGCAGGTGAGCTCGTCTGCGCGGGAAAGAGAGAAACGGAATGATTAGACCCATGACGACATACGGAAGGGGGGGGGGGCTTAGGCCTGGACAGGAAGAAGAGAAATGTCGGGCATGCTGGCAGTCAAATGTGTTGCTACAATAGCACCGAGGAATTGTAACAAATCAAAGGTCAGGTCCCTAAACACTGTTTAAAGCCCTTAAAGTATCTGAGGGTGGATGTTTCCCTTTTAAAAGATCTGCACTTTAGCACCTAAATACAAGCGGCATTCTGTCATCCTGGGATGCAGACTCATTAAGACACATTGTATTCTTACTTTGTGACAATCCACCGGCTGCAGACCCGGCTCATGTTTTGTAAATCTCCAGCTTATAGTTCACACACATACTGCAGGTTGCTATGATTCACGTCTCGTGTAAGCCTCGAGACGATACATTATCCTCTGCTGGTATTTCTTGCGCCCAGCTTCAGTTACCCTTCTCGTCTACATTACAAACAAGTTTTAGCTGAGAGTGTGTGTGTGTGTGTGTGTGTGTGGGAGGGAAAGGTGTAATGGCATTTCCTGGACCCTGCTCGGCTTCTACGCTCCATCATCCCAGTCCCTTAGTCCGTGACTGCAGACAGGCCCGGGGTACTATCTATCCTGCTAATGGCTCCCGAGTTGAGAGGTAAAGGGTGATAATTGTGGTTATAACACAATCAGCGCTCCATTAGCAGGGGGCTGCCCTTTTAGCTAGCCAGAAGTGGAAAAGTGGAGAGACATTAAGAGTCAGTGGGGGGGGGGGGGGGGCCGAAGGAGACAAGCCCAGGGGACTAGAGCAGGAATTCACTGCACTGATTACGCCGGGCTAGACATGCTAATGCTCTATGCTGTGTGTGTGTGTGTGTGTGTGTGTGTGTGTGTGTGT